AATAAAGGATTGCTGTGTATCTGTTCAATATGCATAAAATAATTCACCACCCAGGATTAGCAGGATCTGTATATTTCATCTTCACAGATGTAACTGAATATTCATACATGTATTTAAATATTACTATAGTGGAAGGTAATACAATGGAGCTGTAGCTTTTTCTCAGTCAGGAAGATGTTAATTTGTTTTAAAAATTGTTTAAGAGAAATTTCTGTTCTATATATTTGATTTACTTAAGAAAAGGAAATTGTAATAGTGCAGAAGATAGGCAAGCTCACATAATCGAAGTACACTGGCAAAGAAATCTCATTCACTGTGCTTCAGGTAATTGAGTTTTGCAGTAGAACCTACAATAGGAATATGATCACCTGACCCATGAAATACTTTAAATTTATTTTCATGTATAACCAGTTTGTCATCCTTGCAAAGAACATTATTTTTAACAATGTAAGTTTCCTGTGGATATATACTCTCTATAAACGACCACATAATGGAGAATAACAGGCATGTTCTTGCTTTTTTCTTTCTTTCAGAAAAGTGACCAATTGTAGATGCAGAATTCAAATGACAGAGGCAGATGTTAGGAGGGTCTTTGCTTTGTATTATCTAAAGAACAGAAAAATATTCATCTGGTGAATCTTAAATTGCATTATTCAACTGAAAAATTGCATCACTTCAGGAACACGTTATATTTTCTTAGATACAAGCACTACCAAAACACCTCAATTCTAATTTTGGGGGCTGGGGGGGTTCCCTTCATGCTGCATAACAGTAAGGCTGCCTTCAATCTTCTAAAACATGGACAGAAAACCTGCTGAAATAAATAAATAAAAGATGGAGAAAAGAGGGGTTATCTTGCATATTCCTCTCTCACCTCAGTATTCAAGTTTAAATTTCTTGCAGTTACCCTGGCTCCAATCACAAAGGAACTTAAATGCCTAAGTCCCAGTCCTAGGCTCCACGGTGATCCACAAAACTCCTGCCGAACATTGTAGGTACCTAATCTCACTCTGCACCTAAGTTTCTGCCTGTGGGTATGCACATGGTCACTAGGCTCTAGGCATCCAGTCAGCTATCTCCAGCTTAAGCCCCAGAACAATTCATGAAGCAGGGAGGACAGGTGTTCAGAAGCCTAAGTAGCATGTGGGGCCTGATCCGGTAATCAAGTTCAGAGGTTGCCTACCAGCTCAGATCCAGTTCAAAATGTGGCTGCTGGAAGAGGAGGATGTGCTGCTACCACCCACCTTATAACTTTTTAGTCCTGTGGTTAGAGCACTCATCTGGGATATGGGAGAGCTAGGTTCAATTCCTTAAATAGTCATTGGGCCAGAGAGAGAGAATGAGAATGATTATGTAGACCAGTGGTTGGGGCACCTAACTGGGACACCTAGGGTCCAGTCCTCCTGCTCCAATCATTCTTCTGTTATTTATCCACAGTAGAACAGCTAAGGGAGCATCACATTAGAATATTCTAAAGCTCAGTGGTTAGAGCGCTCTCTGAAGACGTGGGAGACCCCTCTTCAAATCCTTTCTCCCTTTCTGGCAGAGCAGGGGAAGTGAACCTACATCTCAGGCGAGTGCTCTAACCACTGGGATAAAAGTTATAAGTTGGGGGGCAGCACCATCTCCTCTGGCTATTTTGTGAGGAAGCAAGGCAGGCACCTAACTCAGTCCCTCAAGAAATAGTTGACCCAGGCTCTGAGACTTGCTGCCACTGGGACTTGTGCCTGCATTTCACATTGATTTTACTATTCCTCCTCTCCCCTACACACATTTCACTGTCAGGAACATTTGTACTTGTAGGCATGCATTTCAGGTCAAAAAATCTGCTTTCTAGTAAATTCAGAAAATCTGAATGACCTCTTCCTGAACGCAGTTGGGAACCTTGCTGATCACTTATTTTCTGACCTCTCTAGGTTAATAGTGTGGGAGGGGGCAGTAATGAGGCATAAAAAACAAGGTGAGGGAGAGAAAAAGTGTGTGCACATTTAAAAAAAAAAACCCAGAGAATTTTCCACTTCACTGACATTGTGATACTGCTGTATCTCCTATTCCATGCTTAGGAAGATATTATGGTTACTGCATGGAATGGTGACTGTTAAGTTCTACACTTGTCCACTGTATGTGATTCATATGTAGTCATGAAACTGTGAGACTCTTCTCTTTCCTCTGTACTGCACCTTTATGTTTCTAAGTTCTCTCCCTGGATGCACAGTTTAGCAACCATTTTGTTGTCAGAGTTCAGACTGTCTGAAAAGTCCTGGTTTGTGCTCTCACATAGAGACTTCGTTCTTGTTGGTTCTTGTTTTGATGGTTGGTTCTCAATCTAAAAATAAAGGTCATTCTGATTAAAATGATGTTTTTCCATTCACAGACAGCGAGCAGATATTTTTGGTCTGTCATGCATCCTGAATTATCAAGCACCTGACTACATGTATTGTAGTTTTAATAATGAGGTCAACATTGTTCTCTATCACTTTGAAACACAGCAATATATCAGTGCATGTTTGCATTAACTTTATTTTCACCTTTGTTTCTGGAGAATGACAACTTCATGGGAAAATGTCTGCTACTGTGTATCCAAATTATAAAGTCACTTTCAAAGATCAGCAAAAACAACGAGGCGTCCTTGTGGCACCTTAGAGACTAACAAATTTATTTGGGCATAAGCTTTCGTGGGCTAGAACCCACTTCATCAAATGTATGGAGCAGAAAATACAGGAGCAAGTATAAATACATGAAAAGATGGAAGTTGTCTTACCAAGTGTGAGGTCAGTCTAAAGAGACAAATCAATTAACAGCAGGATACTAAGGAATGAATGAATGAAGGTGGAAGTTAATTGAATTGGCCTCGTTAGCACTGAACCCCCACATGGTAAGGCAACTCCCATCTTTTCATGTGCTGTATTATTTATACTGCTTACTGTATTTTTCACTCCATGCATCTGATGAAGTGGGTTTTAGCCCATGAAAGCTTATGCCCAAATAAATTTGTTAGTCTCTAAGGTGCCCCAAGAACTTCTTGTTAAAGTTGCCGTTTTGACAGCACTTCAGACTATAGACCTCTGTCTTCAGGAGAGATACAGCACAGGCAACAGCTATGCTGGCTTGATCATACTACCCTGCTGAAGTGCGTCAACCATGATGACTCTGAACATTTGGCTGCAATACCCACATCCTGCAATGCTGCCGCAGTCAGTCATGCTGTTAGTCAGCAGCAATCCACTTGGTGGCACTGCTGTCTTTTTCCATTTGTTTAGCTACACATATACAGGCATCAAAACCTGGGGCTATATTATGATGAGAGTATACTCATGGAAATTTATAACATGTATGTTACTTTTAAGGACTTAAATCTAAATCTGAAGATTACATCCTACCCTGTTGTGTGCTATTTCAAATGGTTTAGTACAGCATATAGTGCACTGTGTACAGTAAGCATGTTACCAGCATGTGAAATTTAATTATAACTGTGTCAAAGACTAAGGTTATGTCTACACTACAGTCTATGTCAACAAAACGTACGTCACTCAGCAGTGTGAATATTCCATCCCCGAGCGTAAGTTACATTAACATAAGCATTCATGTGCACAGACCTATGTCAGCGGGAGGTGGGTTTTTTTATGCCGATGGGAGGCCTCTCTCCTGTTGGCAGAGAGCTTCTTCAGTAGACACGCTGCAACAGCACAGCTATACCAGTACAGCTGTGCCGTTGCAGCGCTGTCCATATAAATATACCCTAAGTGGAGTACTAGAAAAGTTTAATCACATTTGGCAGTCCACCAGTCCCCACACTTTTCCAGTCTTTCAGGAAAGCAGAGTACATGAAGAGGTGTCATTTTGTTAATTAACTTTTATAGAGATAGCTGCATTTTCTTTTCTTTTTTTAATAGAAAATACCTTTACCAAAAAAACCCCATATTTTTGCCAGAAAACTTTCAATTATGTTAAAATCCTAAAATCCCTTTGGTTTATGTTTCTTCATTATTTTCCTCTCCTTTTTTAAAAGTAAAATTTTATCAATTTTTCTCATCAAAAACTAATTTTGATTTTTAAGTTTCAGGGTGGGGGGAAGCACCCCTTTTTTTAAGCACTCCCGCTCTTTTATTTTCATTAGTGATTTATTTTCATGGTTTGTAGCCGAGTATTCACAGTGTAAAAGGTATTTATCCCCTGGAACAATAACTATTGCAAGGGTGTGTTCATTTGCTTTACTTTTCCTATAAGGCCTTCAGAGGTTCCCAGAAAAGATAAACGTGGACGTCAACAACTTCAGGATTACAATTCCTTGACTTCGTAGGGTTACCAGCCCTCCAGGACTGTCCAGGAGTCCCTGAGAATTAAAAACTAATCTTTGATTAAAGATTATGTCATGTGATGCAATCCCAGGGATAGGTGTCACCAAAGCTGGCAACCCTTGTAATTTCTTCTCTCACGCTCAGCTCAGCAACCTTTCTTCGGCATTCTGGGTCCAGGGAAAGAGAGACAGACAGACAGACTGTGGTTCCTTGGCAGGGCTTGGATATTACAGTGCTGGGGACCCAACAAACACCTGACTACCCTGGCGAGAACCTCCATGTGCAAAGCAACAAAGGGGAGGGACAGCTCAGTGGCCTGCCAAACCCAGGGTTGTGAGTTCAATCTTTGAGGGGCCATTTAGGGATCTGGGGCAAAAACTGGGGATCGGTCCTGCTTTGAGCAGGGGGTTGGACTAGATGACCTCCTGAGGTCCCTTCCAACCCTGCTATTCTGTGAAAGGCTGGGCTGGGCGGGTGGATCCGGCGCTTTAGGCAGGGCGCCCACAGTAGCCCAGCAAGGGCGCCGCGCTCCCGCGGCTGCAGCGCGCGAGGCCTCAGCCGGCCCCGGGCCCGACTCCCGAGGCGGCAGTTGCCACGCCTGCGCGCAGCGCGGGGGCGGGGGCGACTACAGGCCCCAGCATGCAGCGCGACGGGCCCGGCCGCAGGATCGTCGCGACCACGCGTCTGCGGGGAGGAGCCAGGGCCGCGCGGAGCGTCCGTTCGTGCGTCGGGTGAGAGGTCAGGGCGGTGGCGGCAACATGGCGGCCGCCAAGAAAGCAGAGAGCGGCCAGGTGGCTCCGGCGTCCAAGGACCGGAGCAACAAGAAAGCCGGTAAAGGGGAGCCTCGCGGCGGGAGTCGTGCGCGGCGGGCCGGCTAGACGACTCGGCCTGGGCTCCGCGCGCCGGCTTGGGACCCCCTCCGTGCGCGCGCCCTTGAATGGGGAGCGCGTTACTGCCGCCGCCGCCTCGTTCTGGGGGCCAGTGCGCGTGCTCGCCCCTGCGGGCAGGGCTGCGCTCGCGCCCATCCCAGTGTGCCGGGTGGGGGGAAGGGCGAGCTGCAGCCTGCTGGAAGGCAGCGGGGGTGAGCTGCGCATGGAGACCTGAAAACCTGCAGCCCCACCCCATAAGGTGCAGCCCGGATCCGCCGTCTGAGCCAGCCCTGCTCGCCCCCGTCTCCTGCCGGGCGAGCCCTGGCCCCCCGCACCTGGCGCGGGCGGGGGGAGGCGCCTGTGAAGTGCGACGTGCACCCCTGGCCTGTGCTGCTCTGGGACCTCTCGTGAGCATCGGCGGTGAGATGCCACGTGTTGGGCCTGCCCATGGCACGCAGGCAAAGATTCAAGGGGCGGGAGCAATACAGTAGGCGCTTACATTTCAGTGCTCGTTTGCTATGTTGCTCCCCAGCAGCGGTTGCTGTTAAGGGGACTATTGTCTGACCAAAGCCGTAGGAAGGGTTAAGGGTGTTTCACCTTGGCGGGTGTGGGAACCCCAAGTCTTGGGCGGAATGAGGCAGGAGAGCCCCTAGTCAGCAAAACGGCTGCGTGAGCCCAGCTGCTGGGGACAAGCTGCGGATGCGCCTTCTGGCGGCTTCATGCTCCACCCTGGCATGGGGACAGCACTGTGTGTAGCCTGCAATAGGGGGAAGAGGGAAAGGGGTGTCCCCTAGCATGGACAGCAGAGAGGCCCCACAGGGTAGTGCCTTGGGAAGGGGGTGACCTGATATGCCCCACTGCAACATAGCAACCCTGTTGTGCAAAACAGTATACCCACACCCCACCACTGGCAATCAAAATGGAGGGGACAGTTCAGTGTACCGGGGGGGGTCCCCCTGATACTCTCCGATACTCCCCACTGCAATATAGCAGCCCTCTGCTGCTTTCAAGCCAGATGCTGAGGAAGGGAGGGGGAAAAATTCCAGCTGCATCTCTGTGCTCCTCTGATCCCCCCACCCCCAAATTCCTCTCTTTCAGACCTTCCCCCCTACACATGCTCTCCATGCAGGCTCTGTCAGGCAGGGCAAGTGGACAGGGCTGTGTGCCCTGGAGCTGTGCTGAAGGGCCAGGGTGAGTCGGGGACTGGAAAGATGCAGTTTTGTGGGGCAACACCCCTACATGCCTCCGCATCTCCGCCCCTGGATGTGACATCACAACGTCACCAATGTAGCTCTTATGTGGCAGTTATGTTGCTGTTACCAACTGGACAATTCACAGTGGGGAAAGTGTTCCCAGGGGAAATGTTGCTTGTAAGCAGTGGTTGCTCTTACAAGATGTTTGTACAAACAAGTGTCTACTATACATCCATTTGGGGCAAGTGTAAGCCAGAGTTACAGTGGTACTACACTTCTGTAGTCGTGCCAGGAATGGGACATGACATAGAATGAGTGTGCACACTACTTTACCAGTAGTTGGTGTGGTAATGATACAGGGCTATAACTGGGTCAGGGTTGTTGGCTAGTAGGGATGCTCAGTGTAGGGTGGGCATGGGTGGCTTCCTGTTTCTGTTCTCTCAAAAAATAATAAACAGAATAAAATCAAAATGTGCAGCTGAATCCCCTCACCCCAGTTGCTTCTCACGCAGACATCCCCAGATAACATTTATAGTGACTGCGCTTTGTCTGGGGTCAGGCCCCAGGGGTGTATCACAGACCATGTCTACATTTACACAGACTATGTTTACATTTATCTCTACCTATGGCACCTTAGAGACTAACCAATTTATTTGAGCATAAGCTGTAGTTCACGAAAGCTTATGCTCAGATAAATTGGTTAGTCTCTAAGGTGCCACAAGTACTCCTTTTCTTTTTGCGAATACAGACTAACTCAGCTGTTACTCTGAAACCTATCTCTACCTATGTAGCTCCATATAGGGTTTCCAGATGTACTAACTGAACACCAAAAGTCTGGTTACTGTGGGCGGGGGGGAGGGTGCCAGGCCATGAACCCATGTCAGCCCTTGCTCAGCCAGGGCTGCCTCCCATGTGCATGTCATGGGCAGGCAGACAGCAGGCTCCACGTCAGGCTGCTGGTCCCATCCTAGCCCCAGAGCAGAGGGGGTTCAGCTGGTGGAAGAGGAAGGGAGGTGGAGAGCAGTGAGCAATGTGGGGAGGGGAGAGGAGTGAGCAGAAGGCAGGGCCTCGGGGGGAAAGGGAGTGGCCTTGGTGAAGGGGCAGGGCCTTAGGGGAGAGGTGGGACAAGGGGGGGGTGGTCTGATTTTCAAAAATTAGAAAGTTGGGAACCCTAGCCACACACTGCAGTGAAAGGCTCTGCTGGGGGAAGCAGGGCTGCCTCTCCCCTGCCAGAGCCTTTCACTGTGGTGGGTAAAGGCTCTGGCAGCAAGGAGGTGACGGGACACTACACAGATAAGAATAGCAGTGTAGACATGGGATGCACTGTTGGGGCACATAGAGAGCCATGTAGAGGGTTAGATACACTGAGTTCAGGCATATAGGGCATTCTACTTGCTGAAGCTGTAGACCCATGCTAGCTGGGTGTGCTGTGTCTGTATTCTACACGCCACTGTAAGTGTAGATATACCTTCAGATCGTATGACACCAATAGTTGGTTACAGAGAAAGGAAGCAGGGTTGGCACATGGAGACTAATGGATTTTCTGTCTTTCAAATAATTCCTTGTTACTTGTAAGCAAATAAGGCCAAGAATTTCAGACATAAATGGGCCAAGAATTATCCAGTCCTCTGTAAACTAAATGTTAGGGGTGAAGGGCTGTCTTTAATTATTTTACATTACTGTGTGCTTTCTGTTTTCATTTTAAAACTAATCTTTTCTCCCTCATTTATACCAATTATTTCCCGCTCCCACTGTGGTGTGGTGGTGGTCATCTTTGCCAAGCATTTGGGAATACAGTTTGTTTTAAAACACTTCAAAAAATAAGTGCCTAGTTTTGCAAATTTAGGGCAGGTCTACACTAGAAGCACTACATCAGCATAGTTGCAGCACGTCTGGTGAAGATGTTCTATGCCGACCGGAGAGCAGTCTCCTGTCAGCACAATTACTCCACCCCTGCGAGAGGCAGAAGCTATGTCAGTGGGAGATTGTCTCCTGTTTATGTAGCACAGGTGTGGACAGCACTTAGGTCTCTGTAACTTGCATCACTCACGGGGGTTTCTTTTACAGCCTCCTGAGCGACACAAATTAGATCGACTTAAGTAGTAGTGTAGACCTACCTTTAGTCACATACATAATATTTAACAGTGCAAGTAGTCTCATTGCCAACAAAGATAACAGGTGTGACTGCTAGAGTTTTATTGCACCAAAATTGCTCCAATTATGAGGAACTTCTGATAATGTTGGTATGAATTATTTTGTAACATTAAAGTGAGGTGCTTAAAGGCAGATTGTCCTTTCCACCTGCCTCTCTAAACCACTCCAGGTAATAAAGAGATGTTAAGTTACTCAGTTTGAATAACACTAAATAGCTGTACTCCCAACTAAATAATTTTATTGTGGATTCCCACTCCTCAGAGCTCACCCTAATCACTAAATAAAAATTAGACCACAAATGTCTGTCACCAAATCTTATTTTCTTGTTGCCTGCACAGAAAAATGTCTAATAACTACACACTGTCATTAAACTTGTCTGCCTGGTAATCATTTGTTTTTATTATAATGTCTGCTAAGCATAACAAATATATCATCTGTGCAAACAAAATGAAACAGTTTGAATCTTTCATAATATTTTTATTAGAATTAATCGTTATGGGAGTTGGATGGCTCAAGTGATTGGTAATGGTATGTGACATTTCTCTGCTCGGGCTCCAATTCAGCAAGCAGTACCACTTGAAACCTGAAAGTTGTTTGGTGTCTTATATGAAATGAATTATTAGGTTCAGTCCATTTTCTAAAGAGCAGGTGTCCACAGCAATAGAATCCCCATCAGGGTTTATTAGTGCCCATGTCGGCCTCCATGCTGAGACTACCAAAGATTGAAGCCTCTCTTATCCATGGGTCTGCATTGGCGCTGACCTTCCTTATCTGCTCCTTGAATAAATAGAGGAATTTAAGATCTGCCTTTCAATATTCTTGTACATCTTATACTAAGCACTCCTCTAAAATCAGACCCACCCACCCCAAGATTTAGGACTGTTAATCTAGTTCCTTTTGTAATCATTAAATGGGAAAAAAGTCATTGTTGGAGAGAAAAGCACTCTAATGCAAGTGAATTTTTATTTGTAACAGTAAATGAGTCAGAACTTCTCACTGTTCCTGATGGATGGAAAGAACCAGCCTTTACAAGAGAAGATAATCCTAGAGGGCTTCTGGAAGAAAGCAGCTTTGCAACTCTGTTCCCGAAATACAGAGAAGCTTACTTGAAAGAATGTTGGCCACTGGTGCAGAAAGCCTTGAATGAACATGTATGAATAATTTCTACATATACATCAAGTAAACTTATTTTATACCATTTCAAAGATTTATTACACATAATGTTAATTATTTAAAGCAAAATCATACAGGAAAATGCACTATTTTCACAATAGTTTAAGTATATATATTTTTAATAGGCTAACTCATATTTTAAGAATTTAGAATGGAATCCTGCATTCTTATTTTAATTTATTAAGTTGGAAGTCAGTTTAGAAATCAAACCTGCACACAGTGTAAAAATAGTAATGTTTTATTCTGACAATTGGCTACGTGTGATTGACCATTATTTTTAATTTCTTTATAAATATTGCAGCATGTGAATGCGACGTTGGACTTAATTGAAGGTAGTATAACTGTCACAACGAGTAAGAAGACTTTTGATCCATATGTGATCATCAGGGCAAGAGACTTAATAAAGCTTTTAGCAAGAAGTGTTCCATTTGAACAGGTTTGTAGCTAAAGCCACTAATTTATATCAACTATTTAGTAGGTCAATTTTAATATTGCATTTATCTGTATTAAATTATGTTAATTTTACATGCCTATTTTGAAAGAAGTTTATGATTTTCAAGTAAAGTCAGTTGGGGAGAATAAAATACAACTTTCAAAAGAAAAAATACATCTGGGAATACTGAAACTGTGCTTAAACCAGAGTGACAGACTACATTGTTCCGTTGACTTTCATTTAGTAACAAGTAATGAGTTTGTGCTTTGATTAGTTTTATCACAATGACACAGTGCTGGTGGTAGTGCTGATTACCTGTGTGTTCGCTCTTCTCTTTTATTTTTAACACAGCTTTGATTTTCCTTTTTAGGCAGTACGCATCCTTCAGGATGACACTGCATGTGACATCATTAAAGTAGGGTCTCTAGTGAGAAACAGAGAGAGATTTATAAAAAGAAGACAAAGACTCATTGGGCCAAAAGGATCCACTCTGAAGGTACATCTTACAAGTGTAATAATCAAGATCTTAATTATGTGAAGTCGTTTATCTAAGCACCAGTTTATACTTATTTATTCCCTTTTTTGTGTAGGCTCTGGAACTGTTAACAAACTGTTATATCATGGTTCAGGGGAACACTGTTTCAGCTCTGGGACCTTTTAATGGGCTAAAAGAGGTGAGAGAGAGAGAACTCACTTGCTTTTTTAATAGATCCCTAACACCAGCCCTGCCCTGCCCCGCCCCTCCCCACCCCCACTAACCTTCCAGCTACGATCCAGCTCCTACCCACCCCCAGCATCTAGCTAGCACGTAGATACTTCCGAGACAACTCTCCATCCCAACAACCTCTGTGTTCTTTAAACCCTCCAGCACCCACCCACTTACCGACCAACCCAAGCATCCCTAGATAGCCTCCATCTGACCTACCCCACTACTCACTCACCTTCCATGTGCTATCCCTGCCATTATTTGGGGCACGGTGTGTTCAACCATCTGGTGAAGTTGATAGTTATATTCAAATTATTTGTTGGCCTGCACATTAACTCATTGAATAATTTGCATGACTGTCACACATGGATCAGCTCTAAACTTGACCCCTTACTGCTTTTAGTGGTCTGACTGCAGGAAAGGTAAGTGGGTCAACCTACGTCATACGCAGTAGGAGCAGAAACAATGCAGAAATACATGAGTTTCGTGAGGATGGAAATATTGCTCTAAGACATTTGCTTATCAAGCTGACCAACACTGTCTCATTGTTTACTTGTACTTCCCTGTCTTTTTGTCTGTCTGCATCCATATATTGTCTCTTACTTAGTGTGTGAGCAACTTGGGGCCATCCTTTTGTTCTGTGTTTGTTCAGCACCTAGCACCGTGCGCTCCTGGTCCATGGCAGGGGCTGCTAACGGCTACAGTAATACAATCGATAATAATCAATATAAAGGTATATGAGTAACAGTATTTTTTAGCGTCAGTGAAATTGGTTTCACTGTCAGATTGAGTGCTGTTTTGAGCTGCAAACTTTGCAGGAGAATGTTATAAGCAGTTGTTTCCACTGGAATTATAACACAATTCCGTGGAAACCTTTCTGTTAGTTATGGGTATTGTGATCCATTTGTTTTATAAAAATCTAAATTTGGTGGTAAATTTGACTTGATTGTGCCTCTTTAAATTGAAGATACCACTTAAAAATTTAAAAATCATATTGCTATCTGAAACTTTTTTACTTTTGTTATGGGGAACTAATAAGTAATTAGTTTTATGATAACTAATTCAAAAAGGTTTAGAAAAAAATATTTCTCTAAAGGTCCACTTGTGCAAAGGAGTTTGAAGAAAACATATATTTAGGACTTTCATTTACGATAATTTAGAATAGTGATTATGTTTTCCCTTCCCCTTGCTTTTTTTTAAACCTAGGTTAGAAAAGTGGTCCTGGACACTATGAAGAATATTCATCCCATATATAACATAAAGGTGGGTGTGGCCTGGTGTATTACATTAAGGCTAGTACATTACTGTGCATTTTGTATGGGGTTGCATCTTTGCCTATTTTTCTGTATTAAGGTATGTTCCTTGTCACAAGCCACCTTAATTTATAAAAGGCTATATCAATTAAGTATTCCTGTGATACTTTATTTTGAGGGTTTCTCCTATAATGCAATTTTTTTAAAGAAACTTTTACAGTATATTGCTTTGAATATACTTCTGTGTATTAGGGTGCACAATCAGTGTAATCATAACAGTACCTGACAAGGCACCAAAGGAAAAGTGCATATTCATCTACATGTCTCCATGATTAGCAGCTTGATACTCATTAATATAATATCAAGGCAGCTTCCCTGGTACTGTTAATGTCTCTGAGCCCCTGTAGAACAAACTCCTTGAGACATAATTACCTCACGTGTTTGACTGCTCCTGCTTAAACCACCCAGTTTCCCTGTGAGTGTAGGTGATTCACTATACATTTAAATAACTGGACTTAGGAAGTATGTCAATTATATGTTTTAACTAATATTTCTTTTTAATATTTTGAAATGATTGAAGACTCTCATGATTAAACGGGAGCTGTCAAAGGATCCTGAACTAAGAACACAAAGTTGGGAACGATTTTTGCCTCAGTTCAAACACAAGAACTTGAACAAACGCAAGGAGCCAAAGAAGAAAAATGTTAAGAAGGAGTACACGCCTTTCCCACCTCCACAACCAGAAAGCCAGGTCAGTCTAAGCCTCGTATAATTCTGTAGGAAAGATAAAAGGTCCTGAAATCTTGCTCGTAAGTAATTGGGAGCATTAATCAGTTGATGCCAGATGCTTTCCTCAGTATCTGTCTCTAACACATAGCTAAAGACTCTTAGGAATCATAAATGTGTTTTTTACAGGTTGATAAAGAATTGGCAAGTGGTGAATACTTCTTGAAAGAAAGCCAGAAGAAACGAAAGAGGGTGGAAGAGATAAAGGTAAGGCAGTTCTGATTTGTTTCAGTCTTCAGCAAAATGAAAATGGGTTGGTTTTTTTTGTTTTCAATATGATTCTCATTTTGTCTAATGTGACTGGTAAGTCAAGTGTTTGACCTTTTGTTCGTAATTTTAGGCAAAACAAGCAGAAGCCATTAATAGGAGACAAGAGGAAAGAAATAAAGCTTTTATCCCTCCCAAGGAAAAGCTTGTTGTAAAACCTAAAAAAGGTAATGTTTGTTTCCTGTCTTTAGAATCTTTTCCACTGTTTGTTTTTGTTTTTTAAAGCTACTGTTCCTTTGGTTGGTGGCTATTTAGCCAACCAAAGTGTATGGAGCATTAAGTATGAAATTCACCTTGTGGGTGAGGAGGTTCAGTGCAAGGCCCCCTTGCTATTTAAGTCCATCAGTAGAGCTGCATGGGGCAACGGAATAGGTGTAGCAGCCCACAGCAGTGCTGCCTTTGAATGTTTAGTGTAACAGAGTGTTGACTCTAGAGAGTGACATTGGGAGAAAAGCCAGAGAGGGCCTACTGGATCATCAGGTATGCGGAAGGTGTGTTTGCTACTTCAGGCTGTGGGCTAGAATAGAAGCTGTGAAGGTCTGTTGATTTTTCCACTTTAACAGTTTCTTTAAATTTAAAGAAAAGATGAACTTGCTAATCATACTTGGTTGATGTTTGAGACATAAAGACACTACTTAGAGGGAGAAACTGAGATGCTGAAAAAGTATCCCATCCTGACCTGGAACTAAAGGTCTCACACACTACCATTTTTTGCGAATCGACAATCGGGGGCGGGGATATTTGTTGAGATCAATCGAAATGTTTGTTTCAATATTTTTGAAACTTTTACATTTCAACCGTCTTTATTTTTAATATTTTACTATGATGACTTTGATTGCTAAACAAAAAGTTGTTTTTGACTGAAAATCAGAATTTTTTACTTAGAAAATGTTGAAATGGGACACTTCTGGCAACTTTGAAACTTTTTCCAACAAAAAATGTAGAAACAAGAATTTCATCAAAACCAACCCTTTTGTACAGTTTGGTTTTGACAAATGGGCATTGTTCTCATGAAAAAAGATTTTGTCAAAAAATTCTCGACCAGCTCTACTTTTACTTATTGTATATACTTTAATGTAAATCTCTCAGCCTTCCAAAATAGATTACAAAAACATTTTTGAAGCTAAAGAGAAGAACTGAGATCTAAAAATGTCAGCTCAAGCCTATGCTCTAGTACAAGGGTGGGCAAACTTTTTGGCCCGAGGGCCACATCGGGGTTGCAAAACTGTATGAAGGGCCAGGTAGGGAAGGTTGTGACTCCCAAAACAGCCTGGTCCCCGCCCCATATCCCACCTGTCCAACCTCCCCTGCTCCCTGTCCCCTGACTGCCCTTTCCCGGGACCCCCCACCCCCTATCCGCCCCCCCCCTGGGACCCCACTGCCTAGCCAACGCCCACTGCTCCCTGTCCCCTGACTGTCCTGACCCCTATCCACACCCTTGCTCCCTGACAGGCCCCCTTGGACTCCCACACCTATCCAAGCCCCTCCCCTGACCGCCCCCCCCACCCCCCCGAACCTCTGTCCCATGCAACAGCTCCCTGTCTCCTGACTGCTCCCCAGTACTCCCTGTCCCTTATCCAGTCCCCCCACCCCCTCACCATGCCTCTCAAAGAGTGGCAGGACTGGCAGCTGTGCCGCCCACGCGGCAGCACGCCTACGGAGGGGGGACAGCATGGGAGGGGCTGGGAGCTAGCATCCCCAGTCAGAAGCTCAAGGGCTGGGCAGGACGGTCCCGCGGGCCGGAGTTTGCCCACCTCTGCTCTGGTAGGAAGTAGCTTATGTGAGAGAACACTTGATCCTATCTCATAATTTCTGCCCAAGAGGGAGGTGGGGGCAGGAAATCCCAAGGTCCTGGTTTATATGTGATATTAAAACCCTTTTTATTAAAATCACTGCTCGCAAAGGCCACTGGCTGGGGAATACAAAAACACACGTGCCAACCTGCCTTCCCCCCATGTCTCTTTCTATGTCCACTGTTAAACATAGCTCATTGTGTATAAACATGGAATCATTTTGTAGACTGTTTCCAGTAGATACTGGGAAAAAAATCAAAAGGGATGTTTCTCATATTTGTATGTTGGTTTTTATTGTATAGCTTCTACTGAAACAAAAATTGATATAGAAGCAATCAAGGAAAAGGTGAAGAAAGCAAAGAAAAAGAAGCTGGGAGCACTTCCAGTGGAAGAAGTTAAATTAAAAATTGCAGCAGGTGAAAAGAAAAAGAAGAAAAAGAAATGATTTGTCAGCTGGAACACTTGCATTTCTTTTACATTTGCAAAGGAACTTTTTTTGTACTTTGAAGATTTAAGACTTGGGGTTATCAGCATTTGCCATACTGCCAGGGAACACTGATGAAAAGATTAAAAAACAAATTCATGACAACGAGAATATGTTGGGGATTTGTGGACCTAAATAAGCAGTGTAAAATCCTTGGAACTTGTAAAGAAAATAATTTGGTATGCTCTCTGTCACATCCTAAACAACTGAGAACGTACAATAGTATCTTTTCACCATTCACATCATATGTCTGAGAGTGATTAGGAGTTTTAAGCCTTACGTGAGGGTTTTCAGTTTTGCATAATATAAAACACATATTGGGGAAGGGGGGTTGGCCATAAGAATTTGACGGGAATATATTAGGGGAAGGGGATTGTTTGTTTGAGGGGTTTTTGAAGAAATGTTTCTCTAACAGACTGCCACTGTATAACAAGCTTCAGATATGGAGATGTTAAATCTGATAACTTTTGTAAAAGCAACCAGTTGTATTTTTATATATTATATGTCATTCTGTTTATCAGAGCTAATATTTATTTTCTTATACGTGTGGTGTGTATTTCTTCACTATTTGTCCTCTACACATTATAATGTGACTGCAACATGTGTGACATTGTTTCTATGTAGAGTATGCAGGTACCTATCATAAGACACTTGTTTAATTTCTTCAGTTTATGGAAGCAGTTTTGAAACAAACTAAGCATTATGAAAGAATGGAGATTTCAGTGCGTGACACTGACATTTGATACCTTAACTCTGAGCCAAGGGAATAAAATACTGAAGGAGAAGTAACTGCTTGAGAAACATACTAACAAAAAAACAGGTGGCCTGGATGATGGTCTATCAGCCAGTGTTTGCCATAGGTAATTATTTATAAAATGGCAGTAGGAAACAAGCTTTAACAAATACAACTAAGTCAGAAAAGGAGTGGTGATGTGGAGGTACTTTTTACATTTTCAAGTTGCATATAAAGTTGACATTAAAAATTTTAAACTTCATTCACTAAGGCAAAGTCTGCACTAGAAACTTGCCAGTGTAGTAATGCTGACTAGCGCTGTGCTTTTTTTTTTTTTTTCCTTTTTCTTCAATGTGGGAATAATGTCAAAAGTCAGAGTGTAGTTACAGCTACATGATGGCATACACTTGTTTTGCTGGTATAACTGATTCCAGTGGTATAAGTAGGGTCTTGGCAAATTGTTTCTAATGTAGAAGTATAGGTTTAAAAACTTCCCCAAGGCACAAAATCTTTGCCCTTGGACTAGGGTATGCTGCCACCACCAAGCACTTTAACAAAGAACCAGGGAAAAGGACCACTTGGAATTCTTCTTCCCCCAGCAATCCTCCAAGCCCTTATACCCCCTTTCCTGGGGAGGCCTGAGAATAAACAAGTTGAGCACAGATCAGCTTGGGTTTCCTAGTACACTAGAAACCCAATCAGATTCTTTAAAAACAGAAGTTTATTAGAAGAACAAAACAAAGATAAAAGAAACACTCTGTAAGATTAGAATGGAAGATAATCACACAGGCAGTCAGATTCCAAACATAGAGAATCCCTCTAGGCAAAACCTTAAGTTATAAAAAGACACAAAAACAGGAATACACACTCCCTCCAGCACAGCGAATTTACAAGCCAAAACAGAAAACCTAACTCATTTTCTAGCTAGATTACTTACTAACTTTACAGGAGTTGGAGGGCTTGCATCCTTGATCTGTTCCTGGCAAAGGTGTCACAAAAGCCTTTTTCCCCCCCTCCAGATTTGAAAGTATCTTGTCCCCTCGGTCATTTTGGGTCAGGTGCCAGCGAGGTTACCTTAGCCTCTTAACCCTTTACAGGTGAAAGAATTTTGCCTCTTGCCAGGAGGGATTTTATAGCACTGTATACAGAAAGGTGGTTACCCTTCCCTTTATATTTATGACAGTATATATTTCTCCATAAAAATGAATTTTGGAACAGTTATTAAGCCAATCAAAGTTGAACAAGGATATGGCAGTATCAAAGCAGTGTGCAACTAAAATTTAGTTCTCACCCTTCTAAATAACTTGTGAAAATTATTGGTTACCATTTAACTTATTGTCTTAAGAATAACATACCTATGTCATGCACAACTGAGGCATGATGCAGAGATTTGCCCTTTGGAGTTCGTTGCAAGACAAGTACCTAACTTTTTGAGCCCTGGTTGTAGAGGGTAATATATAAAGTATCTCTTAACTTTCATTTTTAAGCAATTTTACTCAAGTTTTTGCTATTTCTAAGGGACATCATCATACTCGGTACATTTTCTTTGACTAATAAATGTATGTAGGCCTTCCTCTTAATTAACCTTTTGTTTTGTGAACATGTTTAGGACCTTTTTATTTTATTTCCGTAAGTGGAGATTAAATTGAAATAAAACTCCAGGAGTAACCAACTGGCTGGCATTCAGTTCATGCTTTTGAGATTCATAGATTTTAAAGCCAGAAGTGAACGTCATTTAGTGATCATTTAGTCTGGCCACCTACATAACACAGGCAATAAACCTCATAAAGTACATTCCCCCATGTCTGTGAAAGATTAGCTGGGATTTGAACCCATGATTACTTGCATAGAAAGCAAGAACTATTCCACTGGACCAATGCTGCTCAACTTCTTCAGCTTGGTGACCCCTTATTTGAAATTGAACATTTTCACAACTCCCTTGCATTTATTTTAAAAGTAAGAATAAACAAATCAGTCATAATGATAAGCCTAAGTTAGTTAGTTGCCTGTGTTTTGAGGTGTCAGAATACCTGACATTGAAGGACAAGGATGTGGTAAGTACAATGGAGACCTTCTGGGATGCAATCCAGACCAGTGAGGGATTTTCACCACCTGCTGTGCAACCTGGGGTGCCTCAATGCTTTGCTGCTGTAGCTCCCACGGTGGGTCCCTCACAAGCAGCCAAACAGCATGGAGGTCACACTGAGTGTCTGTGTATAGCTTGCAGGATGACCCCAACACACTCCCAGACCTGAGTTTTGCCCCAGAATGTGTATTCTGCACTGTCCAGCCCTTTCCTGGACAATTGAGGTATGTTAGGTCCATTGCCCCTGGAAGGGAACAATAGCCAACAGTTTGCTACTTTCAATGGAGTTATCGAAACAATTCAGTTGGAATGCCACACTGGATTAGTTTTGATTCAAGAATAAAACAAGTTTATTTAAGTATAAAGAGAGGGAGAGCGTTTAAATGAGTAAAAGTGCAAAGCATAACAGTCAGAAATGGTTACAAGAAAAATAAAGATAAAATGCTTTCTAGTGCTAAAACTTCACAAACTAGACTTGGGTCGAGAGAAAATTCTTACAATACGTTCCCAGTAAGAAGACTGACCAAATTTGAGGTTGGACTCTCTCCCAAAGCCAAATGGCTGCTGCTTGTGTCATCTTAGGAGAAAGAGAGAGAGGGAGAAATTCCTTGGGGTGTTTTTGTCCCTCACTTTTATAGTCCAGTCAATCTTTGAAATGCATTTTCCTGAGGGTTACCCCTAGATAAAGTTCATTCCTGCTGTGAGATTGGAAGCCACGGGATCTTGTGACAAAAGAGATTCCCTGCTGCTGTTGGCTAAAATGTACATCGATCTGTTTTTGCCCCTTTCTTTGCCAAGAAATGGCCACTTGACAGGTGATTGCCCATCAACTTTGATGACACGTGGCTAGAGGTCTCAGCTTGTCCTTTGTCTTTGAGAAACAGGTTTATCCATTCCCCAGATTTGACTGGTAGCAACATTTCAGTCATCATTTCATTTTATGTTGATAATGTTACATACAATGTTGCTACACAAGTTTCATCATGATATTATTAACCAGTAATTTATGAGTTTTCAAATGATAACCCACAAGGCATACTTTGTATAAAGATTACTACTGTGTAGTGTGTGACTACATGGTGCATTCAGTCACACCTGTCACTCCCAGAGATTATGACCAATTGTTTGAAACACATTGCACTATACTATCTAGCTACCACATGATCTGTCCATTAATATAAAGAAATTTTAATCCCCTTCAAGGTTAATCTAATTTTTAAAAAATCATCTAGAAAGACTCCCTAATTAAGAGTATGGTTACTTTAAGCTCAATATGAAAATTACCTTAAAAATAGGTCCTATTTATAGTGAGTCATGAGGACCTACCCACCATGAAAATCAAATTGAAGAGGGAGGCTTAATGGCAGTCAATATAGGTTTAATGGGCACCACTGATATGGACAACTTATTTAATAATGCTAAGAATCACCTGTGAGTTGCATACTGCTTGTTAGTGTGTACTTATACTGCATACTGTTGTTGTTGTATCCTTGTTAATGTTTGATGGGCTTATATCAAATTGATTGCTTTAAAAAAACATGTATTGTTTTTCTCTTAAAATATATATTTAAGTGTGTTAATCAAGTCTTGGATCACCTACTCTGTGGAGTGTGAGTGTATAAGGTTCATCCAAACTTTGGCACAGTGAAGTTGACTCTCCTAGAGTAAAGACAGTACGTGGGTACTCAAAGCTGAAAAGTACCATTTTATACCCACTTTGCACAGTTGCAAAGGAACACATAGTATTACTCCTGGGGCAATTCTGTGCCACTGTGCACATGCATATTTCCTGTGCCGCACATATTTTTAATTTTGTTTGCAGAAAAATTGCTACATTTCTGCTTTTTGCCCACCAAAGGGTGTGTGGCATTAGAACAAAGCAGCTACATCTGGCCAGACCCAACTATGATAGGGAAAAGAAAGAGCCTGCCTTCTTCACAGCGCCTGTCAGGCCAGGTCACGAGACAGGGGTTGGGGAGTCAGACACCATGGGGCTGCTGGACAGTCAGATAGGGGCTCATAAGGACTAGTGGGGGAGGACAGACTGGGATGGGCTCAGTGGGAGTGGAGGCTCAGGGTCAAAGGGTGGGAGGGAGGTGCAGGGTCACATGGGTAGAGGGGGAGGGGGTGCAGAGTTACAGGGGGGAAGGGAGATGGCTGAGTAGGGGCATAGAGATATAGGGACAGGGGTGCAGGGATACATGGAGCTGAGGGGAGGGAGCTGGCTGATGGATTGCAGGGACACATGGGGTTGGGGTAGGGGAGTAGGGATACATGGGGACAGAGGGCAGCTGGGGGGCACAGAGACAGATGGGGGAAGGGGTGCAGGAGCATATGGGGATAGGGAGAGTGGGTATCTGTGTGGGGACGGAGGGACATGTGCCTGACTGAATGGGAAAGACTAGGGGTCAGCCAGGGTCTGCATGGGGGAAGCTCCCTAAAAATCCCTTCCTGCTCCCCTCCTCCCCACCCCTCAAAAAACAATCCCTCCCTGCTCCCCTCCTTTCCCACCCATACCCAACAACCCTTCAAGTTCACACCCATGCTCCTTCCCAGCAATTATTTTCCTCTCCCGCAGCTCCTCCGTTACCCCTGACTCCTCAAAGCCTTTCCACTGTTTCTGAGGGGTGCGGGAAATACATTTCTGTATTGTATTTTAAATTAATTATTATTCATTATTCAGAGTTCTGTATTAATTATTCAGAAGGAATCTATTTGTCAAAA